TCATGGATTAGCAAAAGATCAAAGAAGTTGGTCCTGGCGGAAGTGCAACTAGGGGGCTCCTTGGAACCAAAGCAGTGAAATGTTATCTCACATACTTTGAACATGTTGTCAGGAAGGTCAATTCTTGGAAAAAGATGCCATGCTGGCAAAGGTAGAGGGTCAGGGAGAGAGGAAAACCCTCAACAAAATGGTTTGACACTATGGTTATAATTAACAATGGCTTGAGTATTTCAGGGATGGTGAGGATGGTACAGGATAGATCAAAGTTCAGATTTGTTGTTCATAAGGCGACTATGGGTCATAGTCCACTTGATGGCAACTAACAATAACAACAACAAACAAGTTTAGAATGAACGAAACTATCTTCTACTTATTATGTCCCATCGAGTCACTTGCGACTCACAGCGACCCTATGTATAACAGCTCTGAACCCTGCTCTATCCTGAACCAACCTTATCATCTCTGACATTCCCCAGTCACTGAGTCAACCCATCTTATTGAGGGTCTTCCTCTCTTGGCTGTTTCTCCACACTTCCAAGCATGAGGTCCCTCTCCAAGGACTGGTTCCTCCTTGCAATATGCCCACAGCATTTCAGATGAAGCTTCAGAATCCTTGTCTCCAAGGAGCAGCCTGGTTTCACTCTCTCTAGGTCAAACCTGTTTGTCTTCCTAGCAGTCCATGGTATATACTTTTTATCACCACAGCTCAAATCCTTCAATTCTCCTGTCATCCTTAGTCACTGTCCAGCTTTCTGATGCATAACAAGTAATTAATTGCAAAGACCATGGATCAGGCAAATCTTAGTCTCCAGACTGACACTGTTCTTCAGTACTTTGGAGAGGTCTCTAACAGCAGACTTTCCCAATGCAATTAGTCTTTTGATTTCTTGGCTGCTGGTACCAAGATTGTTGACTGTGGAGTTAAGCAAACTAAAGTTGTTAACAATTTCAATCTCTTCACCGTCTGTCATGATGCTGCCAACTGGCCCAGTGGTGAGAATCTTTGTTTTCTTGATGTTGAATGTCAATCCATATTGAAAGTGGCAGTCCTTGACCTTCTGCAGCAATGTTTCAGGTCCTTCTCAGTTTCAGTAAGCAGGGTGGTTATCTGTATAACACAGGTTGTTGATGAGTCTTCCTCTAAGCCTGATGCCACACTCCTCTTCATAGAGCCCAGCGTCCTTGATGAAGTGTTCTGCGTATAGATTGAAAAGGTATGGAGAGAGGACACATCCCTGGTGTACATACCTCCCATGCCGTGTTTGCTTGCTCTGTTCTGTATCTTCTACTTAGGCCCACCTTTTCCACAGAGGAACGGCTATAGGAATGTATAGTTATTTCTTTAATCCATCACTGCTGATGGATTGGAACTGACTGCCCCATGGAGCCACTGGTGGATTTGAAACACCAGAGAGAGGGTTCCTAGTACAAATCTCCCTATAGACTAATTGCAGCACAGTTTCTTACCACTGGGGCTACCTAAAATCCCAAATTTGTTTAATAATTAAAAACAAAATTTAGCAGACAACTCCAAGGTGAGGATGAGAATCTCAAAAGAGAGAAAAAAAATGTGTTCTCAGTAACCATGGAGGTGTCTTCTCCCTTGTGATTTACAGCCTTCCAAAATCCCACTGGAAGGTCAAGTACAAATAGGTTCCAACTCAAAAGCAATGAGTTTGAGTTCTTATTCAAAGAAATGTTATTATAGTAGCTTATAATAGGAAAAAAGGCCTCAAGAATCTGGTCCATAATTTTTTGAAGGACCTTTCTTTCAATATTCTCCAAAGTAAATGATGGAACTTCAACAATATATACTATCATATAGATGTAGCCTGAAAAACATTAAGTCAAATCAGGAATGCTATTCCCATGCTTCCCCTGGCTTCCTGGGATGCCCACCACTGTCTGTGGGTATGGAATGAGAGCTACATATGGAAATCACTCCATAGTTCATCATCTTTGTCATTTCCAAAAAAATGTATACCATCAGCCCCATGGAGAATCAGTTAACATTCCCCAGAAATAGGAAGGGGACAGAAGCTGAACTGGTTTCCAACTGATACACCACATGGTCATTTGCTTCTCTCCCAACTCTTCGAAAAGACAAGGGGGAATTTAGCTCTGAGGCTTCTATTTTTTACTCCTGGCTACTTAAGTTCTAAGGGTCTGATGAGGGATGTCAAGTCTACCATCCTAAAGTTTTTTAAACATAACACTATCCAATAACAGAGGTTAGTGCCCAGGGAGGGATGAAATAGCCAAGCTAAATGAAGATAGTCTGTGTTTCAGGGAGGGGTCTAGCAGCTTGTTCCTCTCCATTTCATCCATGCCTAGGAAAAGTTGTCACTTTTTCCATATATTGCATGATCTGAACCACCAGTCAGTGCACTATTTATTTGTATTCTATTCAGAAGGCCACAGGACATGGTTTAGGCTGTTTCTCCATGTGTCCACTTCAAGGACACCATCCACAGTGTCTGTGATGTCTCGTCTCCTCTTTGTGTGGCTCCACTTCCCACAGGCACCTTCTGGTCGGCACGACTGTTCTACTTTTATCTAGCAAAGCATCAAACAATGTTGTCGAAGGAGACCCCGATCAATATCCAAAATGCTCGTGTCAAAGAAAAAAAAAGAATTTCAAATATTTACTTGAAAATTGGTTTATTCAAGGCAAGTTTAAAATATAGTATTTTTTTTCTTTTAGAAAAGTGGCACACAGATTTCATATTCAAATGCTAACATACCATTTTTTTTCCTTTTTAAATTTAGAAGGTAAGATTCTTGGGCCCAATGTAGTATAAAATTGCTCCACATGACAAAAAGCCCTTCTCTTCTACCTCTGACTAAAAGTCAGGTATTATTTTCTTGTTATGTGTGTGGGAGGGTTATTATTTTTCCCCCATAGATAAGAAGGAACTTTAATTCTTTGTCTTTTGCTTCAGAGATCCTTCTAAAATGGGTATTGAGTTTTATTATATATACCTTCTAATGACATGAGCTGTGTAGTTGCTTTTAGATAATATTTTCAGTTTTTTAAAAAGTGGCAATCTGAAGCTGCCTTTTTCTTACTTGGGCACAGTCACAGAGCTGTGATCATAGGTTCTTGTAAAGAAGAAATGAGGACTGTCCTTTTACTTAACAAATAACGGAATCTAAGCACAGGAGGAACCATCAGTGTCACATGTTGTCGTGTGCTGTGGAGTGGGAACTGAGTCACAGTTGACCCTCCAGCCATTTTCAGAGGAAGTAAATCAAAAGGGAGAAGACTGCCCATCCTTCTCCCTAGGAGCATCTGGTGGATTCAAACTGCATGCCTTTGGGATTGCAGCACAACTTCTTACCATTAGGCCACCAGAGGTCTCCATAAAAGGTTAAAGGCGCTTGTCTGTTAACTGAAAAGTTGGAGGTTCAAGTGCGCCCAGAAGCACCCCAATCAATTAAAAATAACAAGAAAACCACAAACAAAAACAACCCTAGCCACTGCAAAGACTAAAGAGCAAAATTTTACTCTTAATCAACATGGGGCTGCCTTGAGCTGGAATAATCTCAGTGACAGTGGATGAAGCGCAGGGAAGTTGGAATTGTATGAGAGTCATAAGAATTTCGCATGAAAATAACACTTTACATACTTTTCCTCCATGTCTAAAATCTGGAAATTCTAGCTGGAGAATGAGAAAAGGTAATTAACAAACTCTCTTTACAAACAGCAGAAAAATACACAAGCCAAATGATGCCAAAAAAAAAAAAATCTTTTTAATCTAAAAACTCATTTCCCAAGGCTTAATAATAGCCAAGCCCTGCCAATATTTTTTATCAGTTTATTTGACTAACAACAGCTATCCAACATTTTCTTCAGAGTAAGATAATATAGAATAGATTCTGATAAACCCTTCTAAATTAGGACATGATATTGCAGGCAGTTAAAGGAAAAATAGCCACAACTTTTTTCTTTGGTGTAACCAAAAGGATATCCAAAAGTTAAGCAAATGCTGTCACTTCAAGAGTGATAAGAAATTGCCAAATGGGAGTTTCAACTTCATAAAAAAACAGTCGTAAAAGGAAACGCTCCACCCACAGTTCCGTAGTGCAAGTTTTCAAATTTCATTTTGAAAAATAATTTTTATTTCTTAAGCAGGAAACACATTCCAGCAGTGTATCACGTATTCGGCTGCACCCTCCAGGGTCTCCCCCCACCGCTGCGTGTACACCCCATCACTTCAGCTCTCCACTGAGGTCCCAGCTGCTACTCAAGGAAAGTTCATTTAAAAAAATTCCCCACGTCTCTAAAAACCAGGCTAAAAACTGCACGTATGTGGCTGCACAGCAGCGGGCACCAGGTCCAGCATCACCACTACCCCGTATCTGTCATTTTTACAAAAAAGACACACAGCCTTTTTTCCCCCCAGAAAAAAAGTCCTGACCCAGTTAGCCCTTCCCCAGCTTTGTGTGTAACGTGCCTCACCTCAAAAGCACACGCATGTGTATGTATTCATGTGTTCTGTGTAGCAAAGGGGCCACCGCTCTTAGAAGTAGTGGTTTTCACCCTTGCCAAGGAACTCACTCATGTCCACCAGCATCCTACTTTTTAAGCAGTTATCACTAGTCTGGAAGACTCCTTCCCTCTGGCCAGCTTAACTCTGTCTCTCTTTACCCTATTTCTGTACATGTTGGTTCTGAGTGTGTGTATTTCTTTTTTAAATTAAAACCACCAACTTTCAAAAATGGACACACACTTATATATACCCAGCATTTAGAAGAAGGGAAAAAAAAAATCTTCCCCAGGAAGCACTTCCAGAAGTTAAGCTTCTACTTTCTTATTTAAGCCACAAGGCAAGTGCCAAGTGAAGCAGCAATCGCCCAGTCGTGCTGCTGGCTGGTCTGCGCAGGCGCGCAGCACATGAGGGGGCTCCAGGTCCAGCCAGGGACCTGGTGGGGCTGCCGAGGGTGGGGTTCCTGCTCCTCGCCCCCCACACCACCCAGGAGGGTCTCACGCTTGACTCTTAACTCTCTTCCCGCGGAGGGGCTCCACACTGTCCCAAGGGATCCCTGTCTTCTGAGCATGCGGGTTCGAGGAGAGCCTCCTCGGCCCGGAGCAGGCTGTCCAGGTCCGTGTCGCTCCTGGCCACTCCGTCCAGCGAGCCTCCCCTGGCGGCCCCCAAGCCCCGGCGAGCTCTGCTGTCCACGGGCTCCGGGGCCTCCCCCTCGCCCTCGGAGATGACGGTCATCGGGCTGCTCTGGATGCGGTTGCGCATGCTGTACCTGCTGCTGGCGGCAGAGGGCGGTGTGCGGCTGCGGCCGTAGCGCGGCCCCGAGAAGGACAGGCTCCGCGGCATCAGGCCCTCGTTCTTGGCCCATTCCTCCTGCGCCCTTCGGTTCTTGCTCGGGGAGCAGCTCGACGGGCTCTCGGGGGCGTCTGGGGCGGCCTCCGACCTTGACCTCTGGAACCGAGGGTCCGTGTTCTTGAGCATCTCGGCCGCTGACATGCGGGCGCTCGTGTCCGAGCGGCTCCCCTTTTTGAGCAGCAGGGCCTTGAAGTTGTCACTGCTGGTGCTGCTCTTGCGGACGCTCCTCTGAATAGACCCCACCTGCTTCGGGGACGTCAGGGTCGGGGCAGCCCCTGTGGGGGTCACCGGGGGGGAGGGAGAATGGTTTCGGGAGTGGTCGTCGTCTGAATCTTTGCGGCCAAGGACTTTCCTTTTGGACCTGCGATTTAAAAGCAGCATGGAGATAAACGTTAATTCCCATCGGGCAGTCCCCTGGCACCTGCATGTTCCAGTCACTCTCAGCTTGAGGGCCCCTGGTGGCTTAGTGGTCAAAGCGCTTGGCTATTAACCACAAGGTCAGTGGGTTGAGTCCACCAGAAAGATGTACAGTCTACTTCCATAAAGATTCCAGTCCTGGAAATGCTATGAGCAGTTCCGCTCTGCCCTTTATAGAGTGGGTCTACATGAGATGGCATTGACTGGACGGCAGTGGGTTTGGCTTTTGGTGTTTTGGGGGATCCCTCCCCCTTTGGTTTATCAATTTAAGACTGACTTGCTCTTTTTTGTCTATGGAAAATTTTACTACATGCTCACAAAGGATAGTTCATTGTACCACTACATTTGTAAATGACCCAGTCATAACCATCATTAACTGAGGCTTTAACTTTGTGCTTGCATCTTCACCTCCACGAGATTATTGGTATTATTGTGGTTTGGGTGAAAATTTACAGAGCAATTAGTTTGCCATTCAGCAACTGACACACATTCCCCCCCCCCCAACATTAGTTGCTCTACTGGATTATTTTGAAATGAATTTGAGGTAGCACTGAATGCACTTCAGACAGGACACTTGCAAAGTTTTAACAAGTAGATTCACCTAACTCTTCTACACTGAATTGCTATACTGAATGGGACTAAATGAGTTCTGTGGTACCTGCCATCTTCTCTTATTCCTCCTTTGGTGTTAACACCTCCATAGGTTTCAAAGATAAGCCACCTTCCAGAAAATCCTCTATGAGGCCTGCTCCCACATCAAGATTTAGAACATTCATTCTCATTCTGGAGACTGCCATAAGTTTCATTCTGCCATAAGTCAGTCTTCCTGTGCGCTTACAAAACCATATGTCATCTGGTAGAAGTCATTTTGGGTTTTTGTAGATGTCATTTTGGTTTACCAGAAAACAAGAATGAACCTTCTGTGCTGGGTCCTATTTCCTGATTGACTTCACAGAATCTTAAACTGATCAAGAATGTGTGAGGGTTGAGGTAGAGCAAGAGAGAGGAGGGGTCGACCAGGCAAAGGACAATGTTTTCTTGTGACTATTCCTTCTTCTCAGGCTCCAGGAAAGAACCTGCCTGTTTAACACGCTTTTAACCATGATCAGAACAGATTTTAAAACAGATGAGCCAGGTCTCCTCATTTCAACTGTCAGTGAACACACAATCACTTAGGCAACAGCAGGTGGACCTTGCTTTCAGCAAACCAGACACAGCCCATAAAATAAAGATGTTGTGATGGATCTCTCTTTTCCTGCTGTAAGAGTCTAGAGTATCTAGCAAGGCAATTTGAAAGTATCAAGAATTGAATCAAGCACAACCAACTTCTTGTTGTTACTCATCTCTGATGCATCTTGTAAAATGGGGGTGAGTCTACCCACCTGTTACCGATTGATGGGCATTAAACGAAGTAAAGATTAGAGCCCCCAGTGTCATAGAAACAGGTTATGTCCCACTGCTAGAGCTATTATGCGATGTGACCTTGAGTGAACTGAGTTTTCTGATTTTATCTGCCATCAGGAAAAAGGGAATCCGTATATCCAGATGGAGTTTATCAAGAAAGTAGCACGCAGTAACAGATATTAAGTGGTGGGCATAGAGTCAGTGCTTAGAAAACTGATGGGTGGCATTCTGGGACATCTAATTCTTTCCAGCAACCAAGCAGGGTGTTGGTGTTGTTTGGATACTACTGTGTGTGTAACAAGGTGTAGATAGGTGCAAGTTGGCTGTCCTGGACTTGGCCTTCCTGGGACTTCTCTCTGCTTCCACAAAAAAACCTCAACTCGGAACGTTCACTGCCAATGAGTTGGAGATGTAACATAGCTGGCCCATTAGAGGAGTTTTCAGAGGCTGTAAATCACATGGGAGGAGACTGCCTAAACAGTTGGTCGATTCAAATTACCTGCCTTGGTTTGGCAGTGTAACTCCTCATTCGGTAAGCCACAAGTGCCCCCTTCCAGATAAAACAGAGTCATTAACATGGTAAGGAGCCAGTGCTAAGGCTGAAGGCTGGCCAGAGCTAACATTTTACCAGTAATGAATGTGCCTGGTACCTTTTGAGACTGAGGAACTTAGCCCATTATACTTTGGTCCAATGGTTCGCTTTGTAGTTTAGAAGTGCAGCACAACGGTATACAGTAATGACCAAAGAAATCTCTAAAAAGTCTAGAGCTGGAAAGGTTCTGGTCTACCCACCTGGAATTCCAGATAAGGTTACTGAGGTCCAGAGGGTACCACTGACTGTTGACATGACAACTAGGATTGAATAGAGATCTATCCATTTAGAGACCTCATGGTCTCATCGTTTTTACTGCTTTCTCCTCAAAAGCAGCTCTGTTCATGTTCTTATTTCACATACTGGTTTGTGTTATATTTTTTATTTGGTTTTAAATGATGAGGGTGCTGAAAGCCATAAATAAAAGCATGCAGTTCGAATCCCCCAGCTGCTCCACAGGAGAAGTATGGGCAGTCTCCTCCACATGATTGCAGGGCTCTGAAAACCCGATAGAGGCTCAGCTGTGGGTCAGTTTGGACTCAAGGGCACAAAGCAACAGCAAAGCTATAGTCTATTAAAGTGATGTACTTTAGTTGTCGACTTAGAATGATTATAAGACAAGACAGGGGTTTATGAAAGCATTGCTGTTTCTCAAGAGCAGCTGCCTCTTAAAATGAGAACTAAATCTGGAGATATATATATATATATGATGGCTATAAAAAGTGCATAAAGAGTTAACACTGACTCAAAAATCTAATTACTTGAATAAATATAAAAACTTCACACCTCAACTGGTGTTCTACATTTTCCATCTGGCTTTAAATCTGAAAGTGATATTCATTTGCATTCTAGAATTTGAAAAGCTGTGTTTCAATCTAGATAGTCTTTATTTAAAATTATGAATGTAGGTGCCAAAAGGCATGAAAATAAAGCTCTGTAAACCATGGAATACGTTAGGTGGATTTTATTATGCTGGGTAATCGAACCAGCCAGAGAAAACCCCCACAGACCACAATGATTCACTGCTCGATCAATCATGAGATGAGCATACACTGGGGGGTGTTTAGTTCTGTTGTATTAGGGTCACCGTAAGTCTCTGGTCGGTTCTGCGGCAGCTAACAGCAACAACACATCAATGAAAACACAAAGATAATCACATGTCCTTGTTCTCGCTTTACAACTCATACCCGAGATCTGCTTTTACTGACAAAGCCAAGTAATACAGAAGGGCAGATTGCTTTCTGCAATGGATGTACTCAAGGAGGAAAACCAAGCACTTTCTTGGCACTTTAAGAAAGCAGGCAAAACAAAATATACAAGGCATCTTTGGTGTATTTTTAGGAAAAACATGTAGTAATCTGGCCCCAAAACAGTTGAGTTTTCTCACTGAACTCAAGTAATTAATGCACAGAGCAGGCAGGCAGCTCAGATCTCCTTTGAGGATTGCTATTACACATACATTTGCTCATACAATTAGCAACCAAACGCATCCCATACTAAATGAGTCTGAGTCTCGGAATTTTCTAACGGTTACATTCTAGTTGGTGCCATTTAAGTCAGAAAATATTTAATTCATAAAAGTATTCAGAAAGCATGGTTAAGGTTAGAAACAATAGTTGGACAAACTACTAGGAATGTCATTTAAAGCGGGTTTTTGAAGGGTGCAGTGTTTCTCATTCTCCTGTTTTGAGAACTAGCTTGATAACTAGCTACCTCTTTCTTTTTCTTTTTAATTTATTTTACTTTATTATTTGTGTGTGTGTACCATCAAATCGGATCTGACTGGTACAGGAGGAGATTGTCCCTCCTCCTCTAGCAGAGCATCTGGTGGATTTGAACAGCATGCCTCTGGGATTGCAGTGCAGCTTCCTGCTTCTTTTTTCTTTCTAATGAGACGAAAGAAATCAACCAGGAAATGTCAAATGGGCAGCCCTGTGATTCTGTTGGGACAGTACAGTAATCCTAGGGGGCTCTGCAGAGAAATGTGTCACCAGCCAAAAGGCAGTGCTTCTCTGTCAGTCTGAATCCACAGTCAAAAGACAGGCAGTCTCCTCCCATGTGGGTTAGCCTGAGAAACCCAGTGGAGGGTCATCTGTGATTCTGTTTCACCTTGGCATCAATGAGCTTTTTAGTTTAAGAGCTGAGAAATCAGAATGAAATTGCTGACAAAGTCCTACATTCACCAGCTTCTCCTACCTCAAATGACATGATTTCATGCTACAGGATGGCCTCCTGGTAAGGCGAGCAGGACACTATTATCTTAGTAATAGTCTCTTCACTTAGCTTCCAAGCCTTAGGAAAACAATTTGGACGGAAAGTTATCCAAAGAGAAGTAACTGGTTCTACAGGATGGCGTTTCTGGAGACGGAAAAAGGGACCTTGAGTTGGGACAACGTAAGGTCTTGGCATCATAAAGGTATTCATAGAGTTAACTGAAGATACTATCATGAATAAGACTAGAGGAAGCAAAAGGCTTATACTGCCTTATAGTTCAAACTATTTGTGACTGTATGATCTCAGAAATTTTCACAGTAGCATTGTTAAAGGTGCACTTGACAATTTACCATCAGGAAAAGTGATACCAAATAAAGACAGTCTGGATGCTAAGCAATATGCCCTCTCAAAGTGACCATAACAGAAAAGGTTCAGGCAATTATTTTGAAAATGTTATTCTCCATATGTATTTTTGGGAGCTCTGGCGGACCAGTAGGTAAGGAATTGTGCTGCCAACCCAAAGGCTGGTGATTTGAATCCACCAAATTCCCCTCAAGAGAAAGTCAGACAATCTCCTTGTCTGTGTGTGTTCAACCTCTGAAAACCCGCTGGACAGACAATTATGAGTTGGTTCTTTACTGGAAAGGAAGGAGTTGTTTGATAGCCATTTTAAAACACAACTATTTCTATTGCCAGTAGATGGCAGTAACGGTATGTTGTAAAAACTAACTGCCAGGGAGTCCATTCTGATCACAGGACAGACAGATAAGCGCTGTCCCACTGGGTTTCTGCTACTATAAATCCTAACAGTGAACAGGAACATCTTATTTTTTTTCCCCCCCCAGTGCAGCTATTGGGTTTGAATCACCAAATATTTGGGTGGGAGCCCAATACTTCAAACCATTGTACCACCAGGGTTCTGTGCTGTATATAGTCATTGGCAAATTTAATTTTTGTCCCTGTTTAAAAAGAGATGCTCTCTTATTTAAAAAACGAGGTAGCCAAACAAATTGCCCTATAAAATACACATTTTTCTTTAAAGAGTAGCAAAACAGAGCACCCCCAGGGAAGGAAATCTGGGTATCCTAGGTCCACAGAACACTGCAAACCCCAAGCTGGACTGGACTGCGGAAGCTCTAATCCCAACTGGATAAACACTGTGTCATGTGACGGACACCGTGTTTCTTGCCAGCAGGAGCTGGGCCTAGCAGAAGGTGTCACATAAGCTTCTGTCCCCAACATCATTATAAAATCAGTGGAGCAAATTAAGACAGAAACTAGAGACAGAGAAGGAATGAAAACACTGGGAAAAAAAGACATGAAAAATCATCAGTAAAGTTAATGAGCCATAACTAGAGGACAAAAGGAACCTGGGGGGAGGGGATGACGGCCAACCATTTATTTGGAAATCAAACAGATTCTCATCTGAGGGAAGAGACAGGGGTACCTGTGAATCGCTGCAAAGAGGTCTTCGGTGGTCCGGGGTCTGCTAGGGGCCATCAACCCATCACCTCCTTCTTCCTTGAGGAAGTCCCAGGCCTTAGAGGAAGGTCCTGCCCCATCGCTCTCCAGCACCCCAGCTATATACAAAGAAGCACACACGTAGACAAACTAGATGCACCAGACACTTGAGTGGCAGCCAAACTCCCCAAATAACCCAGTAGTTCTCCCTGTCGCTCCGATCACTGGCAAGCCCAGGAGATGCAGGCGGTCTCTGGTTTGGTGTTTTGTAAGCACTTGGGGGACGGGGATGGGTGACACCAGCATGTCAGCCAAACTCACTTTTTTTCTCTGTTCAATTCTCAAACTCACACTGCATCTCTTCTACATTTTGTTCTGACCCTTTCATGCTGCTCTTCAAAAAGGAAATTACAGATTGAGGCTTAACATCAGAAGGATGAAGCCCGCTCCTGTTTTCTGCCCGTCTCAAGTCCTTCCTTTTGCTTACAGCCTAGATCTTGATTTTTGAAACGTCTTTCTTTTGTTCCTAAATCCTAAAATACAAAGATGCCAGCCTCACGTGTCAGGCTACACAGGAAGCCTCCCCCCCACCCCCCCACCCCGTCCGCTGAACCATGAATGGATTCTGAGCTACTTTGGCTGCAAGTGTGAACATTCCTGAGTGCGACCCCAGCTGAGGGTGGCCAGAGAGGAGAAGAGAAGGGGACCTACCTCGTGCCTCCTCCTGGGACGGGCGTCGCTCCCCATTGCCCACGCCCTCAGCGCTGCTGTCTGTGCTGCTGCCTTCGTCCCAGGTGCCCAGATCTTCCTGCTTAGGGGTTGGCGAGGCATCGGGCTGGACCATGGGGGCATCGGCTTCCACTCGGCCCGGGGATGCATCTGCTGCGGGTCCTCCCTCCAGGACGGAGCTGCAGCCGTCTGGCTCATCAGCGTGGGGCCCAGCTGCCGCCCTCTCTGGTGCCTCCTTGCCGTGTGCGGCGTCCGCCTCTCCCCCGCCGGGGCTGGGCGCGCCTCCGAGGGCTTCGCTCACGTTCTCCGTGCGCTCCGCCGGGAAATCTCTCTGAGGAGGTGGCACCACGAGGAACAGTTTGGGCTTCTTGGAAATAGGAGGCGGCTTCCTGCTGGGCGAGGAGCCGTGCGGTTCCGAGGGTGCGGGCTGCGCCTTCGCACTCTGCGGCTCAGCCGGGGACCAGGCTCCGGGGCCCCGGGCCGCCTGCGCCCCATCTCTGTGGCTCTGGAGGCCGCCACGCTCGGCTGCACTGTCATGGTGACCCTGGCTGGCGTTCTTGGCAGGAGCTGGAGGCGTGGAGGCATTCTGGCTTTTACTCCCCATTTCATTGATGCTATTTCGGGATTTCAGAAAGGCAGATGGCTTTAAAGGATGCTGTGGAACCACTGGGGCTGGTTTCTCCTGAGAGTGTCCTTCGGCCCACGGGGCCCCCTCGGTTCCGGAGCTCTTTCTCACGGGCCTCAACTGCACCATCTGTAATGCCTCGGTGGTTATGAGGGGCATGGGTGGGCGGGCGCTCTCCTCCTTGTTGGAAGCCTGCTTGCGGGCATCCCAGGGCGAGTCTGGCTGGCTGGGTTGTCTACAAGGCCTGGTGTCCTTCATGAGCTTAGGGTCTAGAGGTGGGGCAGGGGGTGGGCCTGGGGAAGGCAGGAAAGAGGGGGGAGATGGCAAGGAGGCCGGTGGATGGGGAAGGAGGGGGCTAAGCGACGTGGGGGGAGGAGGAAAGCAAACCTCAGCTGGGGGGCTGAATGGAACCAGGACTTCTGGGGGTGGAGGGGGGAAGACGGGTGAGAGAGGCAAAGGCGAGCCCCCTGAGGAATCTGAAGGGGGAGGCGGGGGCAGCAAAGGCGACCTGTCAGCAGAGTGGGGGGCCGGGAGAGGAGGAGGAGCCGGAGGGGGCGCAGAGGAATCCAGCTTCTTCACAGTCCCACTCCCCTCCGTGGAAGTATTGGAGGACAGGGAGGTGGACGACGAGGACATGGACATGGAGATCAGGGAGGACTTCCTCTCTGGCACCTTAGGCTTGGCCTTCCCCTTCCCGTTTGCTGGGGATGCTGACTTCAAGAACACGGCCACGGGGGTGAGGGCCGTGGGGGTGTTGGACTGGCTGGAGTATCCACTGGAGGGTGACGTGACTCGGTGGGCCTTCTCCGGGGAGGCGATCTTTGGTTTGACTGCAGGGCCGGGTTCGGGGGCCGTGGTGGTGGTCCTGGCCCCCTCCGGGGCATGGCGGGCCGGGCCGGCGCCCCCGCTGGAGGGCCCTGCCCCTCCGGGGGTCCCGGGGTCCTCATGCACGCTGGTGTAGTCGATGTAGTAGCCCCAGGGGTCCGTGTACTCGGACCTGAGGCTGCTTGTGTCGCTCTGCGAGGGCGTGGCCGCGCAAGGGGCGTACATGTTGGGGGTGGTGGCGGAGGTCATGCTGCTGCTGGCGCTGACCGTGCTCTGGCTGCGCGAGCGGGGCCCCCAGGGCTCATCCAGGTCGCTGCAGGGGCTGTGCGAGGGCGAGCTGGCGTCATTGCACTGCAGGCTCAGCTGCAGCGAGTGCTGCAGGGAGGCGATCAGGCTCTCGTTCAGCACCTGCCCGTTGGGTTGAGGGCCCTTCTTGGGGACCCTGCGGAGGGAGTCGGTCCGCGAGGGGGGCAGCGGGGGCTTCTTGGCCTTCTTGAGGGAGATGCTTCGGGACAGGGATTTGTCCGGGTAGGTTGGCCGCTCCCCGGGGGGCTTCTGAGCCCTTGCGTCAAAGACATTGACGACACTGTGCCGGGAGTGGCCGAAGCCTTCGCTACTGTGGGTCACTTCCGCTGGCCGGTGCACGGGGGTGTGGTAGCCGTTGTGGTCCAATGAGCACAGGGACCTGGCATCCTCCTTGGTCGACGTTTGGTCCAAGCTGCAGCTGCTCAGGTTACTGGTGGGCGTGGAGCAGCCCGGTGTGGCACATGGGGCCTTCTGGGGGGACACCCTCCCAGTAGCTGGGTCACGGGAGCCCCAGGACTCAGGGCTGCCTGGTGCGGGTCCCCCACCATAACTGGACTCGCTCTTCCCGTCCACATCCAGGGGGTGGCTTGGGAAGCTCAGGTTGTTTTGACAAGCGTATGCTCCAGCTTGGACCCCGTTCTCCATACCTGCTGGGGGATTCTGAGGGGCTGCGGATTCACAGAGGGACAACAGGGTGTCAGCATCAGGGGTGCTGGTGTCTAAGGCAGCCTGTGAAAGGACAGTGGGGGGACTCTTATCCCAGTGGCCGCTGGGAGCCTGATAGCCTTCTCTTACCACGTGCCGGGAGAAACGGTGGTCTCTGGGCCTGGTCTTTGCATACGAGGGTGAGCTGGTATTTTTACTGTCCAGGGACCCTAAACTCTGAGCAGTGTGGATAAGAATGACCTCTGAGGAGGACGACAGCGTGGCATTTGGAATGATGCTGGTGGAGTAGGTAGCATGAGGGGAAACCACGCATGCTGGGGTGGTTCCGTTCTCGCCCTCAAAGTGCCTCAGCTCCTGGGATCTGGGCCTCAGGAGTGTCCCCGAGGCTCCCCCTGCATGCTTTAAGGCTTCATCGATGTGTGGGTGACCCCTCTGGTAGGAGAAGGTGCCATCTGAATCTTCTGTGGGGCCCAAGGCACCCAGCCTTGGCTCCAAGGCCTGCAGGCTTGCCCTGGCGCCAGAGCGCGGAAGGCTGTGGAAACCAGCGTCGCTGTGGAGGCGAGAAGGCAGCACGACGCCAGCGGAGTCGCTCAGCACCGACATGTTCCCAGAGGAGCCTGAGAGGTGGCTCATCTGGGCCGCGATGCCGTGCCCCTTCTGAGCCCGGATTCTTCGCATGGAAGGAGGCACCACGCGTACTTCCTCCGTCTGGCAGCTGGAGTCTCTGGTTTCCGAGCGGGGCCCCGAAGACCGAAGGCTGTTGAGCCTCCCTAGTGTGGAGTAGTGGTCTGGCATATACATCGCGTGACCCCCAACATCCTCTTGGCCAGTGCCTGATGCTGGAGATAAAGCAGAAAGAAGCTTGTTATGGGAAATAAAAACTATATTCACTCCTTACAGATTCTGCACTTAAAACAAAAAAACAAACACACCAAAACCCAACAAAAATGAGTCATCTTTCTGACTTGACCTGGTTTCTCTTCTATATCAAAACCCTTGTTATGAACTTCACAATTTGTATTTCAAGTACTCCTATGGATGGAATGCACAGGCACCCCCTTCAAGGTCAAGGCCCCTGAGCACCCCGTGGAAGATATACGTCACACAACCGCCTTTCTGGAAATCTCCACACAGCCTTTCACCCACCAGGCTGAGGACCGACTTGCACCCCCAATGGGAGGCAGCATCCTTTAAGCACTGACTTTCCCCAAGGCGGATGGATGTAGTGGCTGAACAATGGAGCTAAAGAGCTCTTTTATGAGGGATACTGGCACAGAACGGTGCTAATTACATTATTACTTTATTTTTTTTTTTAATGTAGAAAGGAACTTCTAAGGCGAAAAAAAAAGTGAAAATGATTTACAGGCCCATCTGTGTTTCAAATATGTCATTATCCATCTTAAGCCATTATCATCTGTCTGTTGGTGACATTCAAACTGCAACAGCAATCTGTTGTGTTCTGGCGGGGCAGAGGCAGTGGGACCCGAGGCAGGGAGTGTTTCCTCGGCAGTGCCCATTCATTTCTTGAAGCCTCATCAGCAACATAGAGTGGTGTGTGAGTGGGGGAAAACGAAGTGGGGAGAAAGGCAAACAGAGAGAGACGTGGAAGAGAAGAGACACGAAGTGTAGATAAACATTAAGAGTTCAAGCTACTCAGAACAGAAGCTTGAAAAAAAAAAAGATATAAAAATCAGGAAGCCAAGAACTCAGACAACATGTACAGAGGATATGGAGGTGGTGTTTATACACACCTACTCGTTTACTAGGGCAAATTAGACCTTTACAAGTAGATGCAAGATTATAGTTCCCTCCAAGGTGGTTTTTATCCACAGAGGACCTGAAATATCTTAGACATGGACTTTGCTGAGTGATGCAAACGGAGTACCTGTCTGCCCTACTGCAAGGACGGTGGGAGTGGTGGGGACCCTCCTTTCTTCCCCTCATATAACTTAACCTTTGGGTAAGACTAAACCCTGGTCTCGCTATAAAGCTGTCTGCTCACTCAAAGAGCAAAGGGTACTACCACTAAAACAGGGAGGTCTGGTAGCCTAGGTGGTAATAAACTGTGCTGCAATCCCAAAGGCATGCAGTTTGAATCCACCAGCTGCTCCGTGGGAGAAAGATGGGCAGTCTCCTCCTGTGTGATCAAATGCCTCTGAAAAGCTGTTAGAGGGTCAACCATGGGTCAGTTCTAACTCAATGGTACAACTACTACTAAAATGGGGGCAATAGTAGGTGTCACCCCAAGAGGAAGCCTCCTCAGCATAACCTTTCCCTTTATCCTGATTTTGAAGCATCATTTTCACCATTGGATCTTCACCAAAAAAGCATATCTACCAACTTCATTATATCTCAAACCAACTCATAAATGCACATGGCACACACACCTGCTCTCAGAAAGGAGAAGTGAGCAAAATGACAGGAGAAGAAAATGATGCTGTGGGGAGTAAAAGTATGCAAACCAATTTAAAAGCATGAAATAAAAGGTAAGAGTTTTAGTCATTCGCTTTTTTAGAACATGAGAGGCTACCTCGTGTGTTTGCATCCATTTACATCAGTTAAACATTTAAGGTTCCTTATCTCATCCAAAAATGGGTTTTAATGTTGGTATTTTTTTTTCTTTCAAAGGAGAGGTGGTTTTTGAGTGAAGTCAGCAGTATATTTTAAACCATCTTTTGAGTGAAATAAAGAAAGTAAAAATATTCCAGGAAACAATTTTGAATGTGAAGTCATTCTAAGCTTTAGAAAAATGAGAATATACCTTTTGGTTTTGTTTTCTCTTTGACCACTTACAGCCAAACGTGAGGAGCCCTGGTGGTACAAGGACTGAGCACTTGGTCGCTACCTGAAAGGCTGGCAGTTGGGACTCACGCGCTGTTCTACCTTGTGATCTGCTCTCATAAAGATTCTCAAACCCCCTCCCCCCCATTGCTGGCAGCTCAGAGTTGACCCTCCAGCAGCGCTTTGAGGGCAGTAAATAGCACAGGAGGAGAATGCCGGGCTTTGTCCTGAGGAGCTGTTGGTGGATTTGAACCACCAAAGAGATGGTGCCTTAAGTTAGCTGTGCAGCTCCCTCTGGACGGTGCCAGAGCCTGGAAACCGGAAGTAGCACTGCTACTCTGTCAAACAGGGTCCCTGTGAGTCTGAATCAACTCAAAGGAACATAACAGCAGCATAGGCATGTGTATCTTTCTTATTAGAGTAACATTTAAAAAACTCTTCAAAAACATATGAAAAACAACTCATATGTAATTTATCATGTTGTTGTTAGGTGCTGTCAAGTTGAGTACGACTCATAGCAACCCTATGAACAACAGATCCAAGGATCATTTATCATAGAGACCATCAATATTTTATTGATCCACAATATTTATTGTGTTTTTACAGTATGAAATTTTCATAGTAGTTTAAGACTCTCTTGGTACCAGCAGCCAGGAAATCAAGAGACAAATTGCATTGGGAAAGTCAGCTGTCAGTGTCCTCTCCAGAGTACTGAAGAGCAACAATGTCAGGCTGGAGACTAAGGTACTCCTGACCCGGGCCATAGTCTTCGCAGTTGCATGCTTTGTGTCAGAGAGCTGGAAAGTGACAAGGGATGATAGAAGAAGAATTGATGCCTTTGAGCTGTGGTGCTGGAAAAGAGTGTTGAACAACAATAACAAAGATTTCCCATATGCAAGTAGTTAAGGATGAACAAAATCTGCAAGTTCACTTATTTAAGATACCAGAATATGATTATTTTAAAAAGTTTCATTAGATCTTTAATGTTCTTAGTGGAAAAAAACACCCCCTATTTAAAATATCACGGATTCCTTTAAGAGAGGCCTTTTGTACAAAAGGTGGTAAGTTCCGGAAGTACTCAAACTACTTTGTAACCAAGTAAAACTATATACAAAACAAACCTGAGTATGAACTATTATACCTTATAACATGATGTTACAATAGGTATCTAAGTTTAACAAGATATGAGAAAAAGTTTGCAATTTGGTTCCATTCATTTAAATGGAAGCAAATAACAAATGAAAGCCATCAGACATGAACTGAAACTGAAGAGTAAGCACCATAGCTTAATTGTAAAACAGCATCACTATTTAAGAATTGTTGACTAAAAATTAACTAAATAAAATTTTAACTAAAAGTTTA